TTCCCCTCCACTATCCTCTTTTCCTTTCACAACTATTGGATCAAAATTTTAATGGTCCAGATTTAATATCTTATGAAAATAATATTATTAAAAAATAAATAAATTTAAGCTGTTAAAATCTGGTCTGAACAGTTAACAGCTGTAATAAAAAAAAGTGAAAAAAAATGCTATGTAATAACAGCCTGTAGATATCAGCTGTTCAAATTAGATTTTAACAGTTTAAATTTGTTTATCTATTTTTATAATTATATTTATTTTTATAAAATGTTGTAAAATACTCCTCCGGTCCTAATTATAAGACCCAATTGACTTATTTGAGGAGATTAAGGAAGTAAGTTAAGTTGGTTATTTATAATAAATAAATGTTGTCATTCCTAAAATATCCTTGCTAATTAAGTATATTGGCTAAAACTATCATTATTAGAAGGATTATCTTGGAAAAAAATGCATAAATATAAGAAACAAAATGGATTGGGTCTTATAATTAGGACCAAATAAAAAGTCAAATTGAGTCTTATAATAAGGACCGGAGGAGTATTAAATTTGGATCATTGAAGTTTTAATCCAATGGTCGTGAAGGGCCGAAAAAGGTAGTGGAGGGGAAGAGGATGTGAGAAGAAGTGGAGAGAATTCAAATCCCTTTCAATAATTCAAATCCATTCTTACTTGCGCCTTTGGTATGTCTTATGCATCATGTTGAATTTTCTAAGGAAATAATATATGTACTACCTTACGTCGTAATTATAAGATCTTATTTGTAGTGTATAAATAAAGTCTTTTAATTAGGATCAGATGTAGTGTTTTCAAAATTTGAGGCCATTTTTTTTACTATGCATCTATATTTTCCTATTTGAAGCCATCGTGTTGAGATAGATTTTTTTTAGTAGGCATAGGTATTTTTTATCAAAAATAATTTTATTTGAGGTATTGTATGATACTAAACAAATATAAGTATCTTTTTAAATAAAAATTCCAACAATAAATAATTATGTTACGAGAGATTAGCCTTTGTTGCCGCGGCAAAATTGACACTGTGCGTAGAAGACAGGGAAGTCACGCTATTTATTCGCAATCAAAGCTGATCCAACACAATGTGGCCTCTAGTTATATTTGGCCCCCACGCAACCTATGACAGATTTATTTATGGATATACTTTAAAAGGGGAAAATTGTATGTAACTCAATGCTAAAACTAATTTTTTGTTAATGAAAAGAAATAATTTTTTGTTGGCATATGTATTTTCCCATTAGAGCCAATTATTTTAGAGATATTTTGTTAATATAAAGTTATTGTTGATTATTGATAAATTTTCACCAAAAGAAAGATGTTATTGATAAATAATATTTATCTCTCTCTCTCTCTATATATATATACATATATATATCTATAAGTATTATGAGGGCTTTGAAGTCTATTTTAAACGTGACGAACTCCCAAAATTTTATAAACGTAAACCTTTTTATATAAAATAAAAGACATATTTTTTTTAAAAGTAAAACTGCCGCAAAAAATGCTTGAGAAATAGTATAATTTTTAAGCTGGTTATTTGTCTTTTTTGGGGGGTGCACCAAATATTTCTCAACCGATATTTTTCAAGGTCTAAAAATCATACAAGTGGCTGGCTGGTCAGAAATAAAAATAAAAATCATACAAGTGGGTTTTTTGGTGGCCAACCATGTAAGTGGAATTTGCCTCTTGTAATAAAGATTTTTTTTTTTTTGGATATAATCTTGTAATAAAGATTTGATCAAATCCGCAACAACAAAACGCAAGGGGCCCAAATTTTAACACCGAAGGGACTCGATGTATGTCATAAAAAATTAAAAAATACGGTGACTCTGTAAGCTGAATAAAAATAAACCAATCTCCGTATTTGGTCAAAAAACAAGAAAACAGACTCCTTGTCAATAATAACCAATCACGTTATTCTTTTAACAAAAAAAAAATCTGCTGTATCACATCCTGAGTATAAGATCCACTACCAACAAAGAGCTGGTTTAGATATGTAAAACTCTATTGGATTCTTTTTGGTCTCGAGTTCGAGTCACAGTTGAGACACTTTTGTAAAAAAAAGAAGCCGCGAATTTCAAACCAAATTAGTCGGATCATAATATAAAAAAACCAACTTTGTAGTGTAAATTATATTATAAAGTGAATCTTATATTTAGTACTTCTCCGGTCTTTAATATAAAACCCATTTAACTAATTTGATTAGATTAAGGAAGTTAGGTAGTTAGCTAATTATAAGAAAAGTGATACATTTTTCCTAAAAGATCACAATTATCTTTCTTAATACCCCATTTCCCTCTTCTACTTGATTATGATTGAGGGAGTATTCATAGGGGTGATTTAGAGAAAATTGATAAATATGAGAAACGAGTATTATATTTAGGACCAAAACCAACTCAAGAATTAGGTCATATATTAAAGATCGGATGAGTAGTATAGAAGGAGAGAAATGTCTCCACTAACTCTCCCTCCACTTGATATTTTCATCATTAAATCAAACTTTAATGGCTAAGATTTATTTTATAAGGATATTATTAAAATATTAAATATTAAATAACTAAAAATATAAAAATAAATTTATACTGTTAAGTATTAAAATTTGATATAAGTAGTTTAATATGATAAAATTTTATTATGTTTAATATTATAATAATATTTTTATCCAATTTTAAATCTCAACGATTAGAAGTTAATCTAATGATAAAAAATTTAAGAATTTATTTGAATTGACTTATAAATAATTTTTTAAACGTATTTTAAATTTTGATTCAACTTAAGTAAATTTGTTTAAAAAAAGTCTGTTTTGAAAAGAATTATAAACAAACTCTAAACGGAGAGCAGAGAAAGGAGTTAACGGAGATAATTTTGTTTTTCTTCGAATGGCGCCGAACGGACTATAAGCCGAGCCGGTGATGGCTCGCGTGATGTTGACAGTAAGTTATTTATCTACTTGCTATTTTCCCGGATAGGAAAGTCAGTTCCAACTCAAAGAACAACCAAAACCAAACCCGTTCATATCAATTAATTAGAAGTTAATCAATCAAAGCCTCCCTTATAAAATCATTTCTCTCTACTGGATTCCGAGAATTCAGCTTTCAGATGTGTTTAAGAGGATTAACAGGGAAAATGCAAAATGATTATTTGTATATAATATTTTGGAGTTAATATAATTTTTTATTCTTTAAATTTATCTTAATTCTGATTTTGGTTCCTTAATTCCAAACTACAGTTTTAGCCCCTTAAATTTTTTTATTTAAAATATTAGTTCCTATAATCCAATAAAAATTCAGACCATTTAACTTATTGAGGGATCAAAACTTATAATTTAAAATTTGAGAGACCAAAACCGAAATGATGGCAAAATTAAAAAACCAAAAATTATATTAACTCTAATATTTTGAGAAAGATATAAATTCTTGTAAATTTTATATGTTTAAGTTGTGATTTTTTTTTTATTACTTTTAAGTAAGGGCAGTTCTTATTTTAACGCGTCCTCAGTACTCCAATGCATTCGACCCAAACATAACAAATTAAATGGTGAGTGATTTTGTACCCAAAAAAAAAAATGGTGAGTGATTTTATACTGTATCAGATAAACATGAGAAAACTGTCTCGTGATTTTTTTTTTTTTGGGGTTCACAGAACGTAATAGTGATTCCATATAGCAAAACCAAATCAAAATCTTTCATTCGTTCTGATTTTTTTAGTGAATCCAACATATAAAAACTTTAGAAAAAATTAATATTTCGAGGCAATGCAGCTCAATTCAAATTTCATTGAAATTTCAGTATATGCGTAAACCGAAAAAAATTGAATTCATGTAACCTCAATCGCTATTTTTTTTAAATTTTTTTTTGGTAGAATCGTTAACTTTAACTCATCATGATGTTCCTATAGCATTTGAATTTACTTGAACATCCAGAGAAAAACAGTGACTAGTTGATATTGAAAAAATCGTTAAAAAAACCATCGAAATAAAAATAAATAAATAGGGACTTGTTCTAATATTAATATGGGTTTTGATAATAATTTTTATAAATAGATCCTTGTGCGCAAATTTTCAATTTTAGCGGTTTTTTTGGGTGATTTTTTCATTAATATTTTGTCCAGTAAAATAGTATTCAAATGTAAAACCAAAAATAACTACTACATTTTATTTTTTTAACAAAAGCCCACTACATTTGAGAGAGTTTAGTTTTAGTCCCCATGTCTGCTGCACTAAGTCTTTTAATTTGGTCCCAGTATTTTTTAAGTTTCTAATCCACTCCCAATAAGAACTTAACGTAAATAAAATATGATTGTTTTTTGCATTAAAAAATAATATAATAATTAAAAAGGATGTCAAAATATTTTGTTAAGCAGAATATTATAAAAAAGTACATTCAGAACCTTAATATATATTTCCTACAACAAGACATTTATATTCTATTTACATTTTAGTGAATATATTATATTATAACATGTAGATATAATTTTGATGGCCAAAAATAATTTTCTGATAACCATCACTATTCATAATTATCATTATCAGTATGACCATTGACTGTTTTCTTCTTAAAAAAACCATTAAGCATTTTTCGTCCCATATTTTTTAATTTGTGTTTGCTCAGAGAAAAATCTAGCGTCACCGCGAGATTGTGTCACTGACATCCACGTACACGCTTGACCAATAGAGGATCGACACGTGCCCCGTCGAGAGGCCTCCCCCACCACATATCTCCTCAAATTTTAATAATATCACTATCTCCGCGCGTTTCCGAATCTCTTTTCGCTTACGCCCCAACTATTTTCCACGTCAGAAACCCACGAATTTTGGCGTACTTTCGAATCTTTATTTGGAATCGAAAATCTAGGAAAAATTATTACCCTTAGTTTATTATTATTAATATTTAAAAGCTCTCCCCAATAATTTTTCAACTTTTATTTTTAATGCGGGAATTATTATTTATTAGCACTTGGCTTTACGCGTTGGAGGGTACTGTTTTTGACCTTTCGTTTTCTGGATCTAGGGTTTCTCTTCTGATTTCGACGACCTGTTCTCCAAATTATCATCTTCACGATCATCACCATCATCAAAACCCTAGCTAGCACCGCACCAATTACAAAAAGGGATCACCAGTTACCTATCACGCAAACCGAGGAGGTCGGGGTTTTTGAATTGTTCATCTTCAATTCTTCGTCATCACCATCACCATCACCAACACCACCATCATCAATCACGGATCTAATATTTTCCCTGGAAACAAAAGTGCCTAAATTTTTTTTATATCTCTGATAATGCAAAAATCGGATGAATCTAAAGCATTCTTGAACGACGATGAATACTTTTCCTGGTGAAAGAAACTCTGATACAAATTCTTGAGTTTACTTACACAACTTTTATGAAAGGCTAATACCGAGTTTGTGATTGGAAGGAGGAAATATGTATAAATCGGTGGTGTATCAAGGGGAGGTGATATTGGGGGAAGTAGAAATATACCCAGGAGAGAACAAGAACATCGATGTGAAGGAAATCAGAATAAGCCACTTCTCGCAACCGAGTGAGAGGTGCCCACCACTTGCCGTGCTTCATACCATTACCTCATGTGGTGTTTGCTTCAAAATGGAGTCAAAGACCCTGCAGGCACAAGATGCGCTCTTTCATTTGCATTCCTCGTGTATCAGGGAGAACAAGGTATAGCAAAACAACTCACAAAAGTAAACCCATTAAGGTCCTGAACTTTTGAACTTTCAGAAGAAGAAACCCATGTTCCAAAAGAGCCTTACTAATCTTTCCAAGGACACTGGATAAAATCTGACGGGACTTAAGTCGAAGTTGCAGTGAATCTTTTTGCCATTAAGGCGAACCCGCTTCTGTATTAGCTTTGGCCGGAATTTTTGTAACATCTCTTTGAACTTGTCAATTCTGCTGTTTTGAACTTATTCTGGGAACTGGTTAATGATGGCCTCCACATGATTAATTTCATCATACACCTCTTTTAGCAGAGTAATCAGCCTCATCATGTAAACAAAATCAGTTGCTGTATGATGTGCAATGCTTGTTTAAGATCAGCAGATCTTTGTCCCGACTACTGTTTCTGAGTGATCCGCTATTTATAATATTGTTTCAAAAGGTTGCTCATCATGTTGAACTAAGTGATGATAGTCAAATCCAGTATTCATGGTTATGTTTAGTGTTTCTGCAGATGAAAGTGTTAAAATTCATGGAAATTTGTGAATTCGAGTGTAAGTGCAGACCTCATATAACTATCAATGGTTACTACCTATGTCACATGGCAAGCTAGTAATCTGTTAGCTAATTAGGGGGCTAAAGGAATTAGTATAAATAGAGGGAAGGACAACTGTAAGAGTTTGTTATGGACTCAGTTTACTTCTAATACATGAAAATGCATTTGCCACATAACAACCTCTTTGTCAGCTGCCATTCCTTTTGCGTTGATTGTTTATGTTTTTAAATTATCTATAATCATCAACCATCTTTTTTCTTTTCTTGCTGGATTTTTAACTATGATCACAAAATTGGCTCTGCAGACTGCTGTAATGCCACTATGTGGTGAAGAATTACATTTGGTTGCAATGTATTCGCGAAGTAATGACAGACCGTGTTTCTGGGGATTTGTTGTCGCACCAGGACTTTACAATTCATGTCTAGTCATGTTAAATCTGAGATGTCTGGGAATAGTGTTTGATCTCGATGAAACTCTTATTGTGCAAATACAATGCGCTCATTTGAGGATCGAATTGAAGCA